GCCTGGTTCAGCTCCCCCGGCTGCCCACACGAGGCTGCCCTGGCAGTGCTGCCCGGCTGTGCCAGGCTGCCACAGCCGCCAGCGGCCAGAAAAACCGAGTTTAATCGGTGAAACCATCGCTGCCTGTTTCCTGCCGGATGCTTTGTTCCCAGCACCAGCCACTGGCAGCAGGGACAAGATCCAGCCAGCCCAGCCCGGGCAGGCAGCAGCCACCCCACAGGAATCGTGTGGGGCTGGGAGAGGCTCTGCATGGCTCTGGGGTAGGCGAGAGCATGGTGGGCTGCAGGCCTTGCTGGGATGTGCCCAAACTGGTGGAACCCAGAGATCAGAGCCTGCAGTTGCTGACACTGTGCAGTGCTGTGCTGTGCTGTGCTGTGCTGAGCTGTGCTGAGCTGTGCTGTGCTGTGCAGTGCAGTGCTGTGCTGAGCTGTGCTGTGCAGCGCTGTGCAGTGCTGTGCTGTGCTGTGCTGTGCTGTGCTGTGCTGTGCTGTGCAGTGCAGTGCTGTGCTGTGCTGTGCTGTGCTGTGCTGTGCTGTGCAGTGCTGTGCAGTGCTGTGCAGCGCTGTGCAGTGCTGTGCTGGCTGTGCAGTGCTGTGCAGTGCTGTGCTGTGCTGTGCTGTGCTGTGCTGTGCTGTGCAATGCTGTGCTGTGCTGTGCTGTGCTGTGCAGTGCTGTGCTGTGCTGTGCTGTGCTGTGCTGTCCGGGTGGCAGAGACCCCAGCTCAGGCCTGGGTTATCATGGGTTTTGCCGAGCTGCAGGAAGCCTGGCAGGCTGGGGGAGAGCAGTTCCTGTGTGGATCCTGCTTGATTCCTCTGCGGGGTTTTAGCAGCAGGGAGGGAGTGTCCTCACAGGGCAAGTGGCTTTCACAGGTGTCCAAAAATGAACAAGGGCCTCAGAACCAGCTTCAGCAGGAAAATGCACCAGCCATGACATAAACATGAGCTCAGCAGGCTCTCGATGTGCTCACGCAGGGTGGGGACACTGCCTCTGCCTCCCACGGCCGAGCTCACCCAGGGAATTGGGGCAGGTTTTGCCGTACGTGCGCAGTCGGTGCAGTCAGTGTGTGCCGGGGCCACGGCTGCTCCTGCCCCCTGCCAGCCTCCCCAGGGTGTCACAGCCCCAGGGAAGGCCGTGGTTCAGTCTGTGGGTGCGTGTATTGCCCCTCCATTCCCCCTTGCAGCACCACCAGCCCCAGCTCTGTCCCCCTCCTATCCCGCATGCGATGCCTGACCCTGTTGACCGCAGCACGTGTGACCTGGCACAGCCTGACCCCCCTGCCCCTGCGGGCCAGCCCAGCAGCCCTTGGGGATGTCCAGCTCCAGCAGCGTTCCCGTTCTCACTGCAGCCTCCTTCCCTTCTCATCAGGTTTTAATAACTTCTCTCTTGCACAATACGGAAACGGTTGCAACAGCCCAGGGCCAGCTGTCTCGCCAGGGCTGCCGAGGGGCTGCCATGGAGGGGCTGTCCCGGTACTGCTGGGTGAGGGAGGCGGCTCTGTGGGCTGCAGGGTGTCCTGCAGATTCCCATTGCTCCTGGTGTCTCTCGAGTAGCCAGACCCCTCGCTCCAGCACTCTAAAGCAGCAGGCACTGAACTCCCTGGTGCCAGCCCTGGCTGCCAACAGACCTCCCGTGACTCTGAGCTGCAGCCCACGATGTCTGACCTCAAGTCCCAGGATGGCAGCCAGCCCCGGGTGCCCAGATGAGTTCCTGTCCCCAGCCAGGATGAAGGAGGGTGGGCGCTGTGTGGGGCTGTGGTGCAAGGCCAGGGCCACCTGAGGCATGGAGGGCACATCTGGGGATTTGCCACAGGCTTGGCAACCTGGGCACTGGCTCTGGCCAGCAAACGCCCCGACAGCACTCGGGAGCAGAAGGGAGATCTCTGGTGCGGTGCTGCCAAATCCCACGTGTGCCTCAGTGCCCGGGGGAACTCAGGAGAGAAACAGCTCCCTTGGGCCCCTGGCTGTTCCGGGGCTGTGGGTGCTGCCCTGGGGATGTGCCGGCCCCAGACCCACGGGATGGGCACGGGAACGGCCGCGGCCCTTCGGCTGCAGTGCAGGCCGGGAAGGAGAAGGCAATTTCGGAGCGGTGCTGGGAAGCACAAGAACCCCGCCTGAGGCACCGGT